TCGTGGTTCCCGGCGCCGGATAACAGGGCTCTGAGTAGCGGGTGCCTGAGAGCCCAACCGGCGGTGCAGACGCGACATGGCCGTGCGGTGGCCTCGGCAGGCTCCCTGGCCCTCGAGGACACGACCTTGAACGCCCAGGTCGCTGTGAGACCGGCCTTTGGGGCCACAACGCGCTCTCGTCACACCGTTTGCGGTTTTCGCCTGAGAGCGAGTTCGCGCGCAGTAGCTGCGCTGCGTCTTTCTCCGCGACGCGGTTTCTCTCCCGCCCGCATTCCCAGCACCTTTCCAACTAGTCCCATGTTACTGCAGGAGTATTTCCGTTTTATTCACGTAACAGCCCTTTAGAGAGAACCAAAGAATGTGATTGCAAACGCATATTACTGCAAACTGGTGCACTTTATCTTGGAGTATTGATTCCTTTCACGAATTTTCGGCTTCTAGCAAAAACCTTGCCCTATTTGGACAATGTTACTGGGGTGTTCTCTGCTAACTACATGGGTAGGACAGTGAAAGGGTGGAAGCAGCTGGCTGTTCTCTTCCCCTGTGCCGACCTGTCCTTTGCCTGCGGTAGTCCACGAAATAACGCTCACGAGTGCAGACATTTTCTCTATTTGACTACCGGAGCTACCACGTTCCAACCACGTTCCAACATTATCTTCCAGAAAGCTACAACAGTCATGTAAACACACTGCTTCAAGGCGTTTTGACCTCAAAACAAAAAGACGTTTTGATTTCACCTTTCACACTTCACTGAAGCAGCTATAACAGAGTCACATGAAAGAGCAGCGGGGTGGGGTTGCCTGATCATAAGAAGCCTCGTTTCCCCTGCTAAGGAGCTTGCACTTGGTCGTACAGGCAATGGGCAACCACTGAGGCAACCTAAATGGAGAAATGACACGGTCAAATATGTTCTAGAAAAATCAGTCTTGGCCGGGCGCGGTGGCTCACGCCTGTAATCCCAGCACTTTGGAAGGCCAAGGCGAGCGGATCACGAGGTCAGGAGATGGAGACTATCATGTCTAACGTCGTGAAACTCCGTCTCTACTAAAAATACAAAAAAATTAGCCGGGCGTGGTGGCGGGCGCCTGTAGTCCCACCTACTCGGGAGGTTGAGACAGGAGAATGGCGTGAACCCGGGAGCCGAGATCGCGCCACTGCGCTCCAGCCTGGGAAACAGAGCGAGACTCCGTCACCAAATAAAAAAAAAAAAAAAAAAAAAAAATCATTCTTACGGACTTTTGGACAATGGATGGGGTAAGATGGAAACTGGAAGGAGGGGGACTTGTCAGGGTGGAGAAGAGGTGACAAATATTCAGGGATGAGAGGTGTTCAGAAGTGGAATCTGAGTGCGTCAGACACTGGGGTGCAGCAGAGAAAAACGTTTTGTTCAGCGACTGGGACTTGCAGCTTGGTTAGTAGCCGCACCCTCAGAGACTAGAATGGAAAGAGGCTGGAATGAGGCTTGGGCTATAACTCTGGAAAAAATCAGCAGGTAAGAGGTAGGCAGGGAAGAGGGGGCCTGCAAAGAGCGACTAAGAAGGAGGAAGGCAATCACAAAAGCATTTAATCAGGGACCCAGGGTGCACGGATTGACTTTTTTTGTGTGACGGAGTCTCGCTCTGTTGCCCAGGCTGGAGTGCAGTGGCATGATCTCGGCTCACTGCAGCCTCCGCCTCCCAGGTTCAAGCAGTTCCTTCCTCAGCTTCCCAAGTAGCTGGAATTACAGGCGCGTGCCACCACGCCCAGCTAATTTTTGTATTTTTAGTAGAGACAGAATTTCACCATATCGGCGAGGCTGGTCTTGAACTCCTGACCTCAGGTGATCCGCCTGCCTTGGCCTCCCAAAGTGCTGGGATTATAGGCATGAGCTACCACACCCAGCCCAGGATTGACTCTTATTAGCAATGCACTAGTGAATCAGGAGTTGGATGCCAGTTTCACATCACAGTAGACCCATGAGCTGCTAAGGGTCTGCTTTTGAGGAAGTCACTATTCCATTTTCTTTTTATAATTTTGGTGCCTATCCCTTAGTTTAATTCTCTTAATATTTGTTGAGCTACCAGCATGCACATGTGTCCCAAGCACACTACCACCATAGCACATAGCACTGTGTGTGTAGCCTTTGCTCTCAAGCTCTGTTATCTTCATTGGCCTGCTTACTTTGAGGGCCAACACTCTTCCTCCTTTTTATCCCGATGCCAGAGCTGTGCCCAGCACATAGTGGGCACCAAGGACATCTTTGTTTAGATGATTGGGTGAAGGATGGAATGAATATTTCTCAAACTTGTGTGTTCCAGCTCATTAATAGGCTCTTAATTGGCTATAAAATTAATTTTAGTAGAGGTAAAATTTTACAGAAGGTATCAACCATCATTTTTATCTTAATGAAATAGAATAGAATTGAGTTTAAATGATCAGAATGGCTACATATAGTAAAGGTAAATATTGTTTCTTAAATCATTGGGGGTTGTGTGTGTGTGTGTGTGGTGATGTATTATGGTTAGACTATGTTTGTTTTTTAAGTTTGAAAGCCACTGCTGTAGCAAACCCAAAGATAAGTACAATAGCTTACAACTAACTTCATGTTTTACACGTTGTAGAATCCCTTGTGCCCAGCACACAGCAGATCTTTGAGAAGACAAAAGTGAGGACATTTTGACAGGGGAGTGAAAGCCGCCATGAAGTCTTTTTATACCATCAGTGAAGCAAATGTGTGCTGAGTTGTGTCTTCTCTAGCAGCAGTGGCCCACACCGGCCGCCCACACTGGCCGGCTCTGAAGCCCTGTGCTTGGATCCAAGTCTTGGCTCTGCCACTTACCGGATGAGTGACCTCAGGCAAGTTCCTTAATCTCTGTGTACTTCATTGTTTGTAAAATGGAAATAGTGTTACCATCTGTCTACATTAGGATTAGATTCCACTGCTAGTAACAGTGGGAGACCAAAATTTGAAGGATTGTTGAGCCGAAGACAGTTAAGAAGCCAGCCAGGCACGGATGGATCTTTGCAAGGTCTTCCTAATGGTCTCTCTGTCCCTGTTAGTCTCTTTCTCCTCCAGTCCAGCCTCCACTGCCTCCATGCGATCTCTCTAAAACCAGGGGCACCTTCACTTGGCAGTGTCTTAAAACTGCTCTTCACCTCTGCTGAAGTCAAGTACTTCCCAAGAGGACTGATGTTTGCTTTCCCCATCACCTAGGGCAGTACCAACCTGAGTCTCTGTGGCAGGCAGCCTCTGAGATGACCCTCACCTATCCCTCCCTCTTGGTATTTGTGCCCTTCTGTAATCCCCTCCCCTTGAGTGTGGGCTGGACCCGGTGACTTGCTTCTGATGGACACAATACAGCAAAAGTGATGAGATGTTCCCTACAGGATTAGGTTACCAAAAGACTGCCCTTTTTTTTTTTTTCTTTTGGAGACAGAGTCACGCTCTGTTGCCAGGCTGGAGTGCAGTGGTACGATCTCAGCTCACTGGAACCTCTGCCTCTCGGGTTCAAGCGACTCTCCTGCCTCAGTCTCCCGAGTAGCTGGGATTACAGGCACATGCCACTATGCCCGGCTAATTTTTGTATTTTTAGTAGAGATGGAGTTTCACCATGTTGGCCAGGATGGTCTCGATCTCCTGACCTTGTGATCTGCCCACCTTGACCTCCCAAAGTGCTAGGATTACAGGTGTGAGCCACCGCGCCGGGCCTTTTTTGTTTTTTTAAATTGAGACGGAGTCTTGCTCTGTCGACCAGGCTGGAGTGCAGTGGTGCAATCTCAGCTCACTGCAACCTCCGCCTCCTGGGTTCAAGTGATTCTCCTGCCTCAGCCTCCTAAGTAGCTGGGATTACAGGTGCCTGCCACCATGCCAAGCTGATTTTTATATTTTTAGTAGAGACGGGTTTCACCACCTTGGCCAGGCTGGTCTCAAATTACTGACCTCAGGTGATCCACCCACCTCAGCATCCCAAAGTGCTGGGATTACAGTCATGAGCAACCGTGCCCAGCCAAAACTCCCCATTTTCTTGCTAGTGGGTTGCCTACCTCTCTCTCTCCCTCTTTCCCTCTTCCTGTTTCTCTTTTCCTGCACCTCACTTGGAGGAAACAAGCAAGTTTATGCATGAGTAAAGTTTTGCAAGTTTATCACAGGGTACATTCTAGCTAGTGGCATGCAGAATGGAAAGGTGCATATATTTTCAATTTTGACAGAAACTGCCCAGTTATCCTCCAGAAAGATTTATCAACTTACAGTTGACCCCTATACAACATGGGGGGTTTAGGGGGACTGACTCCCCCACACAGTCAGAAATTTGTGTATAACTTTTGGCTTCCCCAAAACTTAACTATTACTAGCCTACTGTTGGCTGGAAGCCTTATCTAGAAGAGTTGATTAACATA